CGGACAGAACGCAGAGCGAGGGTGAGATCAAGAGAGCGAGCGTGCAAGAGAGAGCTAGAGCGAGAGAGCGCCAGGGAGTGAGGAGAGGGCAGGAAAAAAAGGAGGGGAAGGGGGGGAAAACACCCAGGGAGGGAGAGGGGGAGAAGGGGGAGAGGGAGGGGAAAAGAGAGAACGAATACGGATTAAATCTGTTTAACTACCTACATTAATGAGATATCTCTTGCCTCACAACAAATCAAATACCTTCGCAGACCACCCCCAAAGACTGATGTGGGGGAGTCACGGAAAAACACCATGCGCACACACATCCACAACGCTGCGCCTGGCGTAGGCACGCTGTTAATTTCGCGATTTTAACGAGGCAATTGGAGTCTTTCTAAATGTCAGGGTCGCTTCGGAAAAATGTAAAAGAACACGGTTTAATTGCGCCGAGTTTTAAAAGGTCCTATAAATGTAATTGGTATTTTAATACAAGTTATCAAATCATACAGCTTCCTCTCCTAAACATATTTTCAAACAAACGAGGTAGTCATATTTAAAGCTTTAATGATCAATTTCCTTATTATTGATAAAGGTTTAACTATCGTGTGGAGGGAATTGGCTGGGTAACCAGCCCCCAAAAAACGGCTGTAAACTCTTTAACAAACTATAAAACGCAATAAAGCCGGAGTCTGTTGTTGTTTATACCGCAGCACATAAAAGCTGTTAGCATTTTACGAGTTCTTTCCTCTACAGCTATAAAACCACGGCTTCGATCGCCCCCGCCGCCCGACTGAAGCACGGTGGGGGTGACTAAGCCGAAATGAGACCCATTATGGTTTGCTGTTGATTTTTTTTTTTCCTTTTCGGCTCAAACGGTGAGTTTCCCCGAGATTTTAGCCTCCTTGGCCTTACAGACAGATACACCTGCCCCCCTGCCCTCTTTGGAAACCCCCAAACCACCATCACCACCACCCCAAGAGCTGTCCCCGCCCAAGTCACACATAAACTTTCCCTCGTTAAGCAAACACGCAAGGATTTTCTGTGGAAAGGGGGTCTGAGTGGGCCTGGGGGAAGGAAGAAGAAACTTTCTGGTTAATGGTCAAGGTTAAAGCGGAGGAAAAAGTCCTGCGAAGGCTCCTAATTCTTGCATTTACACAGGCTTTTAGCTGCTGCTGGTGGGGGGGTGCTTCAGGGGAAAGAGGGGGGATCTTCTCCTCTGAAGGTGCTTTGGCCCACTCACCACCTTAGAGGAAAGATGGGGAAGGGTCTGATGCTCTCAAAAAGATGAGGACTTTTGTGACTGCTCCACCTCTGCACCCGCATCTTGGGGTGAAGCAACCAAGCCTGAGCAGGGGTCAATCCCCTGTGCCTTGCATACAGGCCTTCCAGGTGTAGACACTGACAATCTCATCAGCACACCAAAAAGAGGTAAGGGTAATGGAAGCTAAGGCTGGGCACCAAGGCCTTGGTGACTGCTGCCTTATGCCCTCCAGTGCCCTAGGCAAAGTCTGCGAGTTGTGTTTTCAGTGGGTACCTGTTACTGTTATAGCCATTTGATCACCTGCACTGACCTTGGGGTAAAGGGGTTCAGAGAAAGCAAGGCCACGGAAGTCTCCACTTTCCTTTTTCTTCAGGTGCCCTCAGTGAAACCCTGAAGATCTGAGGCCTCAGACCCAGAATGAGGAAGCGAACTAACTGGCTGCCCCTACTCCCAGCACCGGAGCCTTATCTGCGTACCTGGCCCAAGGCTGGGGTCTGTCAGACCTTGGGAGGCCAAGGGAGAGAGTCAGAACTGATGGCCTCCTGGGGCAGCTGATATGCAAAAGAGAGGCCAGGAAGATGGGGAGAAGGAGAAAGAAAATTCCTAAAACAAAGGCAGAATCGATTTTGCAAATAAATTTACTCTATTGCTGATTCTCGGGGAGGCTTCTTTTGGGGATCCCACAAGTCCCAACTTTTGTAAAAATGAAACCACAACGTTTTCAAGGGAGCCAGCCATCCCTGCCGGTTTTACCCAGCCTTCTAAAGTAAGTCCAGCGAATAAGGGGAGGGGGGACAAAAGGAGGGGGAAAGTGAGAAAGAGGGAAAGTGAACCAAGCTCTGGGTTTTTTGCTTTGGTATATTTTTTCTTTTCTTTTTTTTTTTCCTTTTTCTTTTTTTCTAGCACAAGGCTGAGGGGGCGGTAAAAGCAACCTGAGGCAGAGTCAAGTTGTTACGGAAGCGAACATTTTTATCAAGTGCGGGGGATTTTATGGTCATGATTTGAGGACTCACTGGTGAGGTAGAAATTCAATGGCTTGTTCTAAATCATCCCTTCGCCGTGCCAGAAATTTCTGATGGAAGGAAAATGTTTCTGTTATAAGAAAAAACAAGAAAGAGCACGGGGATAATTTATAAACACCCAACGGAGGAGCGCAGATTTATTGGAGAAACTGAAGTTGAGGAGACACTACGCTAGCTTCTTTGCACCTGGTCCAGGGGGAAGGGGAGGAGCAGCTAGAGCTGGGGTCATTTTGCGGGGGTGGGGGTGGCTTGCTTCCCCCCCCCCCAGCTCATGTTGGAGGCGGGTTCCGACTGGGCCGAGAGGTAACTGAAGATTGGGAATCAGCCGAAAGGGTTGTGAGCGGTCAGAGCGATGGCCTCTGAACGAAAAGTCCAGGCCTCCTGCTGCTGAGTCGCAGAAGGACCGGCTTCCCCACGGATTGCCTGAGAATGGGGGCCAGGGGCAGAGCCTGGGCACGCGGGTAGGAGCCGCCGCTGGCTCCCACCTGGAAACCCCGGAGCACGGAAAACTCACCGGCTGCTCCTGCTCCTGTCCAGAACACACGCAGGGTTTTGACTGAACCTACCGAGGGGATGCTGCAGCGTCCCCCCAACCCGCCTCCCTGGGGAGACCCTGTTCGAGCCTCGGTGGCCAGGCACTAGCCCAATCCAGACCTGGACGCCTACAAAGGCGCTGGACTCAGCACCCAGGTGCAGCCGGCCCTCTGACTTGGGGCACCATGGAATCTTCATCAGAGCTAGGTCCCCATTCCTCCCAAATTTGAGGAATCTCCGGGATAGCACATCAGATTCGCTCCCCAGCAGGTGTGGGCAGCCCGCCTGGGGTAGTAGCTTCCTCTTCAAGAGAACTGCGGGCTTACTCCTCTCACCTGACCCGCTGGCCTGCCCTTTATTCCTCCCACCACCACTTCAGGGAAATCTCATTTTTCCAAGACAGTTCGCCTCCTTAATTTGGGCCCATTATTTCTATATTTTTATTATTGATATTATCCCCGGTTTCTACGCGTTTCTCGCCCCACCGAACACAGCAACTGGGAAACAGCCGTCTTAGTGTGAAATTCAGAAAATGAACCGTTTGAGGAGAAAGAGAAACGCCACTATAATTGAAATACTTACAATAGGGGAAAGAGCCATAACAAACCCTATATTTTTATTATGTGCAAGTTATTCATGACTTTTGGTAGCTCTCAGTTCCTAGATATAGGGCCGAACAAGGTGCTCTGTGCAGCCGAAGGAGCCCTCAACCATAACACTAGAAAATTTCACATGGAGCAAGGGTGCCATCTAGCGGCCACTCGGCAAAAGACGTTTTCCTTCAACTCAGCCAGGTTCTCTGAGAAACAACATTAAGAAGCGACAAAGGATTAAACTTTCATTATTTACTAGACATAGGGGGGAAGAAATGAAATCAGATAAGAGAAAGGGCTTCGGAATCAGGAAACTGTTCATGAAACAGTTCAGATAAGTTCAAAGGAATAGAAGCTCTAAATCCACCCAGTCCCTAATTTCTTTTGGAGCTGCTAAGCAGTGCGCTGCTCTTGGGCAGTAAGTGGATCATTTTTTAAGGCCTCCACGATTGTTTCACACGCTGAGGGGTAACAACTGAGCTTTTTGTGAGGGACGAGAGGTCTGAGGTGATGGAATGGAACTGAAGAAGCATCAAGAAGCTACTCTACCTCAGACGTCTGACCCTGCGAGAGCGTGTGTGTGTGTGTGTGTGTGTGTGTGTGTGTGTCCACATGTGCAAGGGTTTCTTGTTTGTGACTGGCGCTTCTAGAGGGGGGTGTGTAAAGAACAAAGACACCAGTCAGAATTTCCATGGCTGAAGCTTTGGGGACAGAAAAGTGTTCTTCCCAGTTGCTAGCTTCTTTACTTTTTATCCTCTGAACCTCACCCCTTTACCCTGATTCCCAAGTTCCAGACCCCAAGCTCCAGACCTGGGGGCAAGAGGGGTGAGGGTGGGGGCTTCATAACAAGGCCCACCCATTCTCCCACCAGGTCCCAAGCCTAGGCTCAGGCGCGGCTCATCTCCGGAAAGTTTCCCTTCAGTGTTTGCTTTGCTGCTGTTTAGTTTCTTAACCTTCAGAAATTTATACCCTATAAACTTTTATAGCGGTCATATTCTTTTATTGCTGCGCACAAGGCATTGAATTCCTCTCCCAGCTTCTCTCTGCCTCTCACTCTCTTAGTCTCTCTCTCTCTCTCTCTCTCTCTCTCTCTCTCTCTCTCTCTCTCTCTCCAACTGATTTCCGCATCTCCGGCTTCTGCGCCTCTGCACCTTCGCCTTTGTTTGTCCTGAAAGAAGCCATCCCGGCCGCCGGGACCCAGACGCGGCTGCCCTAGGCAGCTCCAGACGCCCTAAGCCTTCTACCCTGCCGCGACCCAGTCTCCAGGCTCACTTTTTATGTTTCCTTTAGGCAGAAACAGGCTTCCTTGGCTCACTCTCTGCAGCCGGCAGAGCCTGGAGAGCCAAGGATGGAGAAACAGCCCAGTCCACACCAGCTGTAAAGCCAGATTAATTTTCCTTCTTTAACATAACCCTCCTGGCAGGCCGCTTGTCTCAGCTGCCTTATGGAAGCTTCCCGTCTCCCGCCTTCTGTTTCTCAGATCCCCCTTGCCCTTTCGTTAGAGAGGGGTAGGGCCGGCATGGCAGGCTTCTTTCACTCGGGGCCAGCCTTTGTCGCCAGCTCCACCCCAAGCCGCAGTGTGGCGTGTGCAGCGGGAGAGAAAGTCGCGCGAGGCCGGCGACAGAGCTGCAGGCCGGCTGCAGCCGGGATCCTCACGACTGAATAAGAAAATCAGGGCTTCCACGAATGGCAGACTTCACGACAGGCTCTTGCAGGGACACCGCAGTGAGAGAGGAACAAGAAGACGCCCCTTGAAGCCAAGTATAATCCTGGGGGTTCTTTTGGACATGAATCATTCATTCCCCTCCTGAAACGTTTGTGTCCTGCATTTTGGTGGCTTTCTTTTGAGAGCTGTCACATACCCTGACTTCAAACCTCCAGGCTCAGCAAGCCTCAGACCTATGAGCCCGACTCCAGGTGTGTGTGTGTGGGGGGGCATCTACAAGGAGTCCTCAGGTTCAACCATTTGAGTCAGCCAAGCTCCTGCCAAGTCTGGGTCTCCCACCTACTCCCCACCGCCACACTCCAGGCAAGAGCGTTGGAAGACCACTAACTCCGCCCTTGAGAGTTTTGAAGTGGTTAGCTGAACGAGACGTGCTCTAAGAACTACAAGTCGGACTTTCCTTCTACCCATTGGCAGAGGTCAGAGCAACTTTGGGTGAAGACCCTTGCTCTAAGGTTCCTCTCTGAACCCTGAAGATTCTCTTTCCTCCTTCACCACTCCCTCGGTTCTACTGAAAGGGCCTTGCTCAGTTTAAGCAGCTGTCCTAGGACCTGGATACCCTTCTGGTGTCAGGGCCACCAGAGAGCAGGTGAAGGTCTATGGAAAAGGCCTGTCTGTGAACGCTAACTTGCCTTTGTTTGAAGCCATGTTTTTAGCAACGGGGCTCTTAATAACCAGAGGAGAAGCAACATCGAATAAAACGCAGGAGAGGTTTGTTTTCTAGAGTGATATATATTTTTTTTGTTCTTTTTCTTTTTCTTCCAAAACAGACAATTAGAGCTCTAGCCCCTTGCCCTCCCCACTCCCACCCTCAACCCTCCCTAATGAGCAACAACTGAAAATCATTGCCAAAGAAATCACAAAACACAAGCACGATTTCACCACAGCCACTGACGGAGCAAAACAAAGTAAAATTCAAAGTTCTACTGGAATGACATCTTTGCAGGGTTGGGAGAGGCGGGAGAGAGTCCACGGGTGGAAGGGATTGAGAGCAGGGAAGGACAGAAGCAGAGGATGAGTCTCTGCCCGATGGGGAGGGAGGCGTGATTTTGCTTCTTTACTTTGCACGCGGGACTGTTTGCCAGAAGCGTGGGTGCACATGGCCTGTATCAGGACACAGCAGTGTATTCTGCAGGAGGTGAAGTCCCCACTCTGAGCTTTTGGGGTTTCTTCCTGTGACCCTCTGGCTGCATGCCAAGGGGCTCTCTTCTATGTGGGCCAGGAAACTAGTGACATGGGAAGAGACCCATTAGCCCTGCTTGCTGAGGCCATTGCTTCTCCTCCCCTGACTGCCCACTCTGGAAGGTTGCTGGGAAATTGATTCACAATAAATTCTCAATCAGACTCTCCTGACCCGGCCTTCTCTATGGTGGGGTTGACCTAGGAGGGGGTGAAGGGATTTTTTTTTTCCTACATGGGGAGACTTGACTAGCTGGCACAAGATGGATTTAGCCGCGGAAAGGAGAGTTGATTTTGGAGCTGGAAGGAATGGAGAAGAATGCAAAATCTGTGGTCAGCAAGAAAAACTACTACAGTCTGCCAAGGGGACGTGTGACAGGGGGGATGGCACTGTGGAGGTTCTACACCCACAGTGTGACCTCCTTCAGGGGGAAGGAAGGAGAACGTGCACAACTAAACATTTCCTGCAAAGATAATTGCGAGGGGCTCCACTAAAGGTGCCTTCAGAAAACCACTGCCTGCCCTTTTTCTCGCCCTTTCTAGCTCCCAGCAGCTTGGGGACTGGGCCGGCCCCATCTGCCCACAGTCCCCCAAGACCTGGGGCGGAGTTGGCGATTCCATAGGGATAAGTACAAGGACCTGGAGACTCTGGACTGCAGTGCCTCATTCAGGAGTTCACCTCCAGACCTCATCCTGTATGTGTCTGCATCAGGGGAGAACCTGCCTGGCTCTGGGACTGCCCAGCTGGGCTCGGAGAACAATGTCTGCATGTAGGGTGTAACTGTCTTTCTCCATTATCAGTGTGGACCCCTATGTCCTCTATGTCCTGGGGCATCTGTTGGGGTGTGTACAGTTAAACTCTTTCTGGGTGACTTCTGGATAGGTGCAGGGAGGGAACAGGCAGGTAGTTGGAAAAGTGGGGGGGGGGCTGGGGTTTTCCAGAAAAAACTTAGCAGGGATGCTAGGAGCTTGATTCGGGTTCTCTTTCTTTGAGGCTCATCACTGTCCTAGGAACCAACTACAGCTAGCTTCTAACTTAACAAAACTTCCTCCTGACACCCAAGGGGAAGAGAGAGAAACAGGGATAGGCAAGGGAGGGGAGGCAGGCTCCAGGGGTAAATGAGGGACTTTAAAGAGGAGATGCCCTTCCCCACTCACTTGGATACATCCCAGACAGCAGTGGCCTGGCAGCCACCACATAAATAATCCGAGTGAGGTAGGGAAGGGTGGGGCTGGTCTTTTACTCTTTGCCCTGCTCCTTATTCATCTTCTTCATTTTCATCCGCCGGTTCTGAAACCAGATTTTGACTTGTCTCTCACTCAGATTGAGGAGTCTGGCCACTTCGTGCCTGCGGTCCCTGGTGAGGTACATATTGAACAGAAACTCCTTCTCTAGCTCCAGCGTCTGGTATTTGGTGTAGGGACAGCGCTTTTTCCGGGAAGAGCGGGCGTGCAGCCAGTTGGCAGAAGGGTTGGCTGAAAGAGAAGCAGCGATAGAATCAAAGGAAAGAAGGGGGTGAAGGGCCCCAGACCAAGAGGGTGCGCTCCATCTCTACTCCCCATCTTGCAATGGAGAAAGTCACCCAGGCCTCCAAGATCCCAGAAAGCACCCCTAGGTGGGCCAGGAGTTAACACAGACAGCTCCAGGTAAACAGCCCTTTAAGGATAGAGCCAAGCCACCCCAGCATCTCCAAAGCTTCCACTGCCCCAGGCTCTCAAGCTTTCTCTACTTGTGTCCAGACAGACCTGGACTCAGGTCAGAAAAGGCCACACTGCCAACTAAAGGTGGCTGACCTTGGCTCTAGGTCTGGGAGGAAAGAGGAAGAATTGGGTAGGGAAAGGAGTCCTGTTCAGCCCCAGCCAAGAGATCTCTTGGCCCTTCAGCCCAGTCCCAGGAAACCCTGCCTGGGTAGCAATCTTTCAGCTCTAGTCCAGAAGGCAGCAGACATGTGAGTCTGTATGATACCCCTCCCCATCACCACACACCACAAATAAGAGTCGCATTTACAGCTGCGAACGCCACAGCACACTCCCAACTCACAAGAAACCCAATTACAACCATCTATCAATTGCAGCCGGTGGACAGGGGAGCCCCGGGGCTCCCAGATAACTTATGGTGGCAATAGCCTCTTCTTTCTGCTACTCAGCTCACAGTTTGGTTAACACAAGTTCAGGAAAACTGGGAAGCAAAATTGCTCCAGCCCCAAGGTGGGGAGAACGAGATGAGGCGGGTAACAGAAAGCCCTCCACAGCTTACTAAGACCTTCTAACCTACCCTATGGGGAGGCAGAGAAAAGTGTGACGGGGTGGAAGAGGGCAAAACAAGGGAATAGCGTGCAGGCTTTTCTTTTTCTCTCCTGCATCTCTCCCTAGACCCTGGGACTCAGGAAAGTTGCCCCCCCCCAAAAGCAGAGCCTATTACAAATAAGATCCACTCTGCCAGCTTTCCCCCAAAAAACGAGAAGCCCTGACTATCCGTGTATATTTTTAAATTCAGTTCATCCTACACTAAGTAGCGTGTCTTACCAATTTGCAGTGCTATTTCCTTAATGTGATTGCCTGGGATAGGACCCGAAGCCACATTAAATATGAAAGAGGAAAAAAAACTGTTAATAATTGATCCTAGCCAAATGGCTGCCGTGCAGTAATGGGCTTTCCAGGACGAGTTTGGGGCCATGGAGTGAGGATTCTGTTTGGGTGTTTCAGGAGGTTAGGGAAGAGCTATGTTCCTGGATATCAGCTTCTAATGACTCAACCTGGCAGGTTGGAGGTACAGGGACTGCAAGGGTCTCTCCTTACTTTTCAGAGGGCAAGCATGCCCACGGAGGACCCATTGGCCACTCTTTTGGTGGGAAATCTGACAGGGCAAGCAAGAACTACTTGCCCCAAAGAGTAAGAGGTGAGGACTTGACCTGTCAATCTGTCTGTAATTGTTTGGGAACTAAGAGCTCCCAACCGGTTTGCTTTTCCCATCCTTAAAAAAAAATAAGTAAATGAATCTCTCTCAGCCAGCAGCGCTTTCCACTTGGGTTTTTTTTTTTTTTCTTCCTTTTTAGCAAGGGATGCTTTTAGGAATGGGAGGTGGTAAGAAACTCTCCACCAAGGGTAGAGTTCTCCGCCCCTACGCAGTCCTCCCCCCCACTCCTCCCCCAGATCCCTTCGGGAGACCTTCTCCATTCTGGAGGTGGGCACTGACTTTTAGCAAGTGATTCAGACTCTCTGGGAAGCAAACTGTCCGGGCTAGTGTTCCGGAGCCCCGCCAAGAGCACTGGGAACCGCAGAGGGAGAAGCGGCCACCCTGGCGAGGATGCCCTAGGAGGGCGGAGAACCCTGGAGGGAAGGCTCCCGGGGAGGGGCCGGCGCACCGGGGAGGGGGCTCCGTCACCGCGTCCTGGGCTTCCTCCGCCCCTCCCGGCGCCGGCAGCCGACCCGACGCGGCTACTGCGTGAGATCTGCTAGGAACAATCCTCTGCCAAGCTGTTGCATCGCAAATAAAATCCTAATGAGCCCCCTCCCCCTTCCCCTTGGCCGGCGGGGACCGTCTGCGCGTGGCGCAGGCGGCTCTGCCGGGTGTGCTCCGGCCCGTGCCCGCGCGGGCTCTCGGTCACGCTGGCCACCGGCCCGGGCCCCCTCGTTCCTCAAGCGACTGTCCCAGCCCCCCACCCCTTTCGAGCAAGAGCGTGAGGGAGAAAGAAGGACTCATGAGACTTGATCCTTGAGGCTCAGTCCACGCGCCACTAGGAAGAGTGGGGGCGGCCTGTGTGTCCCGTCCCCCCGTCCCGTTCCCCCCTCTACCCCCCGCTCCATGGCACACAGCTTCTTCCTATCCCGGTCCCTTCCTTCCTCTTCCTTTCACCCTCCTCTAGCCCTGCGTCCCCCGGCGCGCTGTCCCTTCACATTGTCCGCTTTATGGCCTCTCCCCTCCCCTCCTCCAGGCCTGGCCTGCAGCCTGGGGGGGGGGGGGATTTCCTCACTTTTTTTTTTTATAACTTACTTTGATCCGGCCTCTCTTTGTCCTCGCTTCCTTCGCAAATTTTATTGTCCCCGTAGCCGGCTCTTTGATTAGACAGGACAGCCTCCCTGCCCGCCGAAGTTTCCAAACTGTACTCGGGCGTGCCCTGTTTGAGCAGCTCCCCCGGCGCGCCCAGCAGCGGCTCCGCCTTCACCGCAGCCTGGCCCTGCCCCGGGGTGGCCTCGGCGCGCGGGGCGGGCTCCAGCCAGGTGCGGAGGTACCTGCTCTCCGCCGCCGGCGCACCCTGGGGCTGCAGGTAGGGGTGGTAGACGGACGGCAGGCTCCCCGAGGCGTGCGGGCTCAGCGGCGCCCAGGAGGCGCCGAACACCGGCGCTTTGGGCTGGAAGCTGCAAGAGGGGAAGTCCAGGTGCTCGGCGTGGCTCGGCTGCCGCGGGTTCGCGTACTGGCCCGAAGGAAACTTGGCTGGAGGCGCGTCCTCGCTCTCGTGACTTATGATCGAGTCGACATAATAGCTGCTAAGCGTCCCAGAAATGGACATTCTCAGACATTATCCGCGCGCTCGCAGGGGGAAGGGAAGCGCTCGCGCCTCGGCGCCCAAGCAGGGAGAGGTGGCACACGGACCCGGTGTAGAGGGCTTTCGGACGCGACCCCCCCAGACCCCCACCCTCCCACCCCCACCCCCTGCTTAACTTCTCAGCCAACAAAGTACAGTGGAGCAGCCCGGCTCGGAGCTTCTTGCAAAATGATTGGTCAAAGTTTTGCGGACTGCCTGATAAAGCGTCAGCTCCGACATAAATCAATCGGGCGAGGGGGCTGCGCTCTCGCTGTCATCCGTCCTCACCGCATTCCATATCCAGGATGGATTGTTTTATGCTGATGCAATGTGCTATCACGTCAGGGCTCCGGCGGCCACGTAACCTCAGCCAGAGCTGCCCGGCCGCCCGGGGCCCCTCCCGCTTTTGCAGGAAGGGGGGTTCTCAACACGGGGCGATGGGGGCGGAGGAGAGGCGGAGGCAAGCGGCAGGCTGCCTCTAGAGGGACTGAGGCTGCAGAGCCCTCTCCCCAGGCGGGTTGGAGAGGGAGGGGGAGGAGGACCTGCATACAGGGAGGAAGAGCGCCCCAGCCTCAGAGCAGCGGGAGAGACCCGACAGGGTAATTAAAGAGGAGGTAGTCTTGTCACCCCCCCAACACCTCCACCTCCACCCCGCAGGCCCTCATTTCCTGTCCTCCCTCCCCTTGACAGAGATGTTTATTAAACAACAGCAGCACAGCGACCCACAGGAGATGAAGTAAAAGGATGGTGAAGAAGTTGGGGATTTTATAGGACAGTTATCCTCTTCGGAGGGGGTTCAGGGCACAGTTTGGGGAGATTTACATGACTAGGCTCTTCTCTTGATCCTTCAGGAGCTAAGAAAGGAGAAAGGGAAATTCAATTGGGCCAGTGTCCAAAGAACCATTATCTGGTCTGAAATTAGAGCCTGCCTAAGGCCAAAGGGACTCACCAGACCCTGTAACTAGTCTATGAAAGAGTTTCACGCGACTAACCAGTCTTATTTAACTCCGTGAAATTTCTTGGGCCTTTAGGAAGAGATGGGGTCCACGGCCATTTCTTCTGTCCTTCCTCTGAGACCGTAAAACTGTCCAGAGGAGGGGGCTAATGTGAGAAATGATTAAAGGAACTCTCCAGAGATGGGGACAGGGTCCCCAGACAGCACAGTAAGGGACACCGGATTACTTTCCTTTCCTTCCAAAAGCGGAAGGAGGCAAGCTAAATTCCCAGCTCTTCTCGCCCAGAACTGCCGCTCTGGAAACCGTCCAAATGCCAACATAGGACAGTACCAAGTATAGCGGAGTCCCCAGGAGCAGTCTGTTTCCCCCACCCGAAGCCTCCCCCCTCCTCCAATCCTCTCGTGGAGCTTCCAAATAGTGCTTTTTATTAGCAGCTATTCTGCGGCCCTACGGAGGGACTCCCCCGAGGCCACTGGCTGGCTTCCTGGCGGGTCTCCCAGCTACTGCCTCTGCAGCTTCTGCTTGGGTGCTGACGTCTTCCCGGGTGTGAGGCTCTGGGAAGCCCGACCCCTAGACAGGCTCGGTTTCCTCGTGTTAGGACTAGGGACAGATTTCTCTGACTCTGGACCTTTATTAGGCAGGCTGCTCCAGGAGCCATGACCTCCTCCTATCCTACCCTCCTTTTGAGAAAAAAAAAGTGGACCCTTTCTAACTTGGGGTTATATCTTTTTGGCCACCACCCCCTCTGCAGTAAAAAGGCTGCGGATCCGCTCCGTGCACGCACACACACTCACGCCCGCTTGTCTTTCCAAATGAAGCCATCTCGTGTCATTACGTGTGAAATACGAGGGCGAAGCGCCATATTTCTTCACATTATGGCGATTTCAAAATGATTTTTTAAAGATCAATGCGGGCGCCCAGCCGGCCCCTTCAATTCCACCCACGCTCTTGGAGAGAGACAGCCCAGCAGATCCCGAACCAAGCAGCGTGAAGACCTGTTTTTTTCCATAGTATCTAAATGGGGAAACAAAAATCTGATGCAAATTCTTCTAAGTAGCGGTTGGATGCTTGGGAAAGTCAAGGGAGCTTCCCGGACCTGCCAGGGAGATACTAAATGAATCACATTTAGGGCAAAGCACCTGTCCCTGTTTTGCTGGACGTATGGAGTTTGCTATCAGTTTTACCTGTAATAAATATAGTCTTCAGGCAAAAAAAAAAATCTCCTCCCCTACCATAAATAACAACGTTATGAAGCATGTCGAGGTGGGTATATGATTTTCTGTAGTATATAAATTAGGGTCCAAAAGGGCACATGAGCTGTGGGCTGGGGCAGTTTTATTTATGGAAAAGCCATAGACCAAGACTGTTTTTAAGACCCAAGCTGTGCAGGCTCTGGATCTGCCTGCTGCCCTCCTGGCCCCCATTCCTCTCCTGGGTTTTGCTGCAGAATCTCTACAAGGAGGGAGGAAGCAAGGAGCCCCTTCAGTTTAGGGAAAGAGTCAGGGGGAGAACATTTGGGCTGCTGGTTTGTGCCCTGCAAAAGTGAGGTGATCATTTGAGTTTAGATTTGTGTGTGGTGTCTAAGAAGTTGTTCCTAATCCCTGGTGGTTTCCAGTGCTGGGTGAGGAGGACACCCAGGCCTCTTTTCTGAGTCAGCATTAGTTTTGGTTCTTCCTCAAGATGCTGAGGGATGAGAGTAACCATGTGGAGGACACAGGTTTAATTGCGAGATCTGCCTTCTCAAGAGGCGAGAAAATGAACTTTCCCTCTCATCTCTGGAGTCTGGACCCCCATCTCGTCCCCCTGCAGCTGAAGATGCAGCAGCAGGCAGGGAGTCTCAATCACCCTTGCCGCCAAGCTTTCCAGAGGGGATTGCTGCCTCAAACTGGAGTTCAGCTTCAACAGAGGCAAATGACAACATGGTCATCAGGGTGGGTGCCCCCTTGCTGGGATGTTCTGGGAACCCATGGACCCCTTAAATCTTCTTTCCTTCTTAGGCAATTGTACCTACCGTGCCAGAGCAGAGCACCCACCATTGTGGCCCCTGCAACCCAGAGTCTAAATGTACTTAATAAAAGTGACCAGACAGTGGGGTAAAGCTACTCTGCAACCCACCCCAATCCTAAAGAGAAAGAAAGAAAACCCTGTATTCCCTGCCCTCTTGTCATTGCTTACTTTGGAGCTCCGTTAGAAGTGTGGAAAAAGCAGGGAGGAAGAAGGCAAAGCCCCTGGCCACGTTGGGGCCCAGGACAGCCAAGGACCAAGGAGGACCAGGAGGCAGAACCAGCCGGTAAGTGCCTGCTCTTTTTGGTGGGGAGGGGGCTCTATCAGTAATAAGAGAAAATCTAGGGGTTAAAAAGGGAGGGGGAGGAAAACAGTAAATGAGAAGATAGTTTGTGTTTAATTAATAAGCTAGGAATGAGATTGATGCAGCTGGATTTGAGCAGGTAATTCTCCGGCGTGTCTGCTTCAAACCAATATTTCTGTAGGGGAACCTAGTGTTCAAGTAGGCTCCATTCCATCCGTGTATGGTATATATCATCGTCTTCCCAACTGTAATACTAGACGTGCCTGGGCGCAGGCATTTATGATCTAATTGTGCATATGTGGTTATATGTATAACCCCTATGAAATATGTAGATTAATGGTGATGCTGTTCTTGATTTTAAAAATATGCCCCTAAAGCTGGTGTGCACAATTAAAAACAAAAACAAACAAACAAAAAACCCAAAAATCCAACATACCTCTGGAGAAGACAAAATTCTGGAAATTCATGGACTTAAATTTTGGCTCTAAAATATTAACTGATTTGGAAGCCTCACTTGAAATCTTGTCTCTTAATTTGGTATTCAAGCAAAATTCATATTTCATCTTCAAATAAATGTGTGTGGCGTAAAGCTGGATTCAATTACGGTGTCCTACCGGAACATTTTCCTGGAAGGTGAAGGAAATACCTCCAACTGACCCAGAAGAGGTCATGAAATTTGGTGACTTTTGCTATCCAACCATGAAATCCTTTACTGCGTATCTTGCCCCAACCTGCAGGGGTGGCAGGCACTGGGCGACACTTATTTCATGGTAGTGATGGGCATAGGGGTGGAAATGCCATTATTTGTGTCTTGCACAAGTGTGAAGGAAAAGTAGACAAACGGAGCGTGACCGTCCTCAGGTAACTGTGGAGGTCACGCCAACACACTGCTGCATGCAACCAAATTGTTGAAGTCCCCAGTCTCTGTCCCCCAGCACAGGAGACACTTCTTCTGACCCCCAGACCTACTGTAGAACACAGGGAGGTTTGAAGATACTTGTTCCCTTAGACATTGGAGGGGAAGCCAAGATCCCAGGACCCACACTCTTTGTACAAAATAACCTTCAAACAGGGATCACCAATCTAAACAGCGGGGTTCAAACTTGGGTGCTTCCACAGCCCCAAGCAGGGACCTTAATTGAAAAGTAACGAAACCTCTGACAAACTTCCCTCGTAGGATATCAGAGGTCAGTGGCCCCAGCCCCGCTGGACTGAGTAATCTTCTTCCCAACTCTCAGCCACCACTGATATCCAAGACAGTGGGAGGCGGCTGAGTCCTTTGGGAGGAGGGATCAAGGAGGCCAAACGGGGTGGGCGGCAGGCAGAGCGGAAAGGGTTCTGAGCAGGTAGAAGGCTATTACACAATTGCTTCCATAAAACCTTTGGCTGTTGTAAAACTCTCTGCTTTCCAAAGAGTTTATTTTCTCCTTTCTCTCTAACATCCCTTTTTTTCTTTCTTTCTTTTTTTTTTTTTACAGCGCTTTTCCTGGGAGGAGGTGGCCAGGGTGGGGAACCAAAGGGTGGACTCTGGTCATGCTCCTAGTGCAGGTTTCTAAGAGATCCAAAGAGAAGCAAGGTAAGGCAGCAGGAACATTCCAGACCCTCTTGACCCACAGGGAATATGAGAAAATATTAAAGGAAAGGGTTTAGGGTCTTTCCTTATCAGGACAGTGACTTGAAGCCAGAATATCCCCTAATCTGGGAGTGGGTCTCCCTGTACCGTCTGCCCTTGCAGAGGCCTCTTGTTCACCCCCACCCCACCCTCCTTTACAGTCTAAATAAGCCTGGCGCCTGAGTCCCATCCGGCTGGGGCCTCTTTCCTGGGCCCCTTTGCACATTTCCTCTGCCTCAAGCAGGGAAAGAGTTTAGGAACAAAAGTCAGCCTATGCATTGGCAAGTCCCCCTTCCACCAGCCCTCCTAACAACTCCTTTCCTGGGCACAGAGCCAGCAGCAGCCTTGAAGGGCTGGGGTCAGAGAGGACAAAACTGCCTTGCCCTGTCCGGGCTCCAGCCCCACCGTGTCACCAGGCTGTACTGAATAATCGAGTAGCTTAGATTTTCTTGCTAGTTAAGCCCAAGGGGCCCCAGGACTTGTGTGAATCCACAGGCCAGTTCAGCCAGTAAAGGGCCAACTAGAGTTTGGGAAAGAAAAGACCCCCATCACCACCACCACCATCATCACTGCCTCTGTAAATTCTATCCCACTAGAGGGCCCTAGGCGGAGGGACTCAGGGGGCCTGCAAGCTTGAGACGCAAATGATCCTGATCTATCTATCAGGATGGGAACTAGTGGCCCCTTAGAGAAGCTTCAAAGTTTTGCCGAGGTACAGCCCCCATCACCCAAAGATTACAAAGACTCCACATAACCCAATTGAAAACCAAATCCTTGCAGCTGAGAAACCTTCCAAGGAAGGTTTGACTGGAGACACAGGAGCCTACAACTTGAAACCCTGGCTCCCATACCTGACTTTTCAAAAGAGTTCAGCCCTGCCCCCTCCTAAAGATGTCCTTGAAGAGAATAAATACTTACAGGGTTACCTTTTTCTCCAATCTCTCTCTCTCTCTCTCTCTCTCTCTCTCTCTCTCTCTCTCTCTCTCAGAGACACCCTAGAACTCCCCAGGTTTCTTCATGAGGGACATTCTCAGACGAGGGACCTCAAACCTGTTTATTATTTTGCAAAGGTAACAGACCAGTCCCGAAAGACCCTACCTGACTCCTCCAGCTAAGCGAGAAGCAGTAACTGCCGTGAATCAGGTGGTTGGATGTCGTTGTGTTCAGAAAGCCAGGCCCAACAACATGAAACTACCTAACTCACTCAGCAGTCCCAGTTCAAGCTCCCAGCCAAGGGCTCACTGGGGCGGGCTCCTGAGGCCCTCCTGTGGGCCAGAGTGGCCACAGAGTTTACTTCTGCTTAACTAATTTTCTTCTGCTTCTTCCTAACAGAGCCCACTTGCTAGCAAACCAAGAATCTGAAGAACTGGACCCAGGATTCCAGGAACTTTGGTTCTCCTTCCAGAACCCTGACCAAAGAAGGCTCTGGGCCCAGCTCTTAGCTTGGCCAGCCAGCATCTTTGTGGATACCTGCTTGGCCTCTGAGTGCAGACCCGCGGCTGGAGGGCTCCTCATATAAAAGGGATTCTTAACTTCAAACTGCTAGGAAGGTTCGCATCCACTCACCATCTGGCCAGTCCCTGGGCCCCAGGGTTACCCAGACTCCCAGGCATCTCTGAAAGGTCAAATCTTCCAACTGTACACCAACCCCAGCCTTGAGACGGGAGAGTAGACAGGACAGAAGATCCAAGAAGAACTGAGAAAAAAAGAGACAGAGAAAGCCAGAGTCAGAGAGTATCGGGAATTCTAGGGCACAAACGGCAGGCTGGAAGGGGGCAGGAGTCTGGTTGGAACAGTTGCTCTGTGGCTACACGCTAGGACTCTGGCTCCACAGGGCTTACCCGCCCCAGGTAGGACACTCTTTAAATCTGCCCTTACAACGAAGGGAGATGTTGAGGACCTGGCTTGGGAAGGAGGAGAACAAGTTTGCTTCTTTTTTGTTCTCTATTCTGCGCTTACATCCTTGTCCCCGACTTTCCTCCGTCCCACAATGTACACCCTCACAGGTGCCCCCGCAGCTGATGCCAGGCTGTCAGAGGCCTCCTGGAGACTTACCTGAGCTGGTGAGGGGGCCCCCCGCACTGGGCGTGGGAACGAGCCGGCTGGACCCGGCTAGCTCCCTTCCTGCACCCGAAGGCGAGTGGCAGTCTCGTGTCCGTGTCCGGAGTGGAAGTCGGAGGTAAGGAGGGAGTCTGCCTGGCTGCCGGCTTCTCCTCCGGGGGTGTAAATCTTGGGGACTGGAAATACAATAAAACTTCACCGTGCTGATGAACTTCAAACAGTTTGTATCCCCTCTGTCCTAAAAAGAAACACGGCCAGGGGCGGATAAAAGGGAAGGGAAACAATATATGAGGCGAAGGAACTTGCACAGACTCTGTTCGCGTGGAGAGAAGGCTCCCGGGTCTCGGTGCCCTTCGCTCTAGCCGGTGGCCAGGACTGGAAGCCAACGCCTAAACCAACCAGGGCCGCTAGAGCCCAGAGCCCAGTCAAGGGCTCTGGCTGCGGCTCCTAGCAACCTGCCTAGGCAGAGCTGAGCGCCCTGAACTCCTCCAAACCAGCCTAGTCCCCTGTCACTCCCTGGACTGTCTGTCTGCTTGATGCGGGTTTTAGGGGTTTTCTGCTCTCCGGTTTCTAGAACTTTGCCCTGCCCTGCCCCGCCCGTTTATTGCCAAGTACTTGCTAAAATAGGACAGGGGATAAGACTTGGAAAACTCTCAAGGCCTGAAGGGGACTGAGCAGTGAGGGGCTCCAGGGGAGAAATCTGCAGGGACCTCCTTGTCCTGTGGAGAGGGCAGAAATTGACAGCTTGCAGTGGTGGCTGGTCTCCACCGAGTTCCAGCGCTTGCTTCTCTCTGTGACCACTCTTTTAAAAGCTTCAAAACCAAATCAAAACAACCAGTAAATGAACCTCAACTTGTCAATGCTCTTTCTGTGACGTAGAGTTTGCTTTTTTTCAAAATTTCGTGAAATCCGATTTGGTAGCAAGGCCCTGCAGCAAAACTAACTGGAAGAAAAAAAATCCCTTTCTCCAGGGGCCCCAGAGTATTGGAAGTCACAGTAGTGGCTTCTTACCCTCTTTGTCTACCCAGAGTACAAGGATAGGGAATTTAGGGGGACAGCAAAGGGATTCCATGCATCCCAATTATTCATCAACAAACACCAACGCTTCAGGTCCAAAATATGCTTGAAAGGCTGTGATTACCTCGGGCTCTGCTCAGGTACTGGGCTGAGGCTCGGCTGCAGGCCCAGGAGGGGTATCCTGCCCCACAGACACACAGGTGCAGCTCTGACCTAGCCAACTCATTTCCTCCCTCCAGGAAATGTTGCCAGAGCACCGCTGGAGATTTTCTTTTTAAATGAAATTTGAAAAATGGGCTCAGAAAATAGCAAATCGTTTGCCATCTTTTTTTTAAAAAAAATCTGAATAGCTGAATTGGCTGCCTCATTCTGTCCCAGGTTGGCCAGGGGTGAGCAGCAGAGTGGTGGCCTGCCCTGTGGGGGCTTCCCGGCACCAAGAGGGAGGATCATCTGGGACAGGAAGTTCCTGTATCTATGGAATGTTTGTTTTCTCAAAATGACATGGGGAGACCCCTCCAGCTCCACTCATCTGTACCCCACTATGTTTCAGCCCTCATCATCCTTCATTTCTGTTTCTTTAAGTCCTATGTCAGCCGCCATGACTTACATTAGCCTCTCCCTCTCTAGAAGACACAGAGGAAGGAGGAAGAGGACAGGGAGGCCAATGGTTCTCAGGCTACTCTGACCTATTATTTTTCCATCTCCAAAGGAGCTGCCTGGTCAGGGATGACTGTGGCAGGGAAGGATACTGGTGTCTTTCAAGTCCCCTGCCACACACACTGTTGCTGGGATGCTGGGGAGGCGTGACTAAATAAAGTAAGGCTATTTGGGCAGTTCTTATTAGCCCTCAGTTGTTTCCCAAAACACATCAGTCTCCAAATTATTTATAAATCCTATAGTCAAGCTATAAGAGGCAAGGGTAACTTTTCCATAGCCCCTTTTTCTTCTGGAAGTTAAAGCAGAGTCCTCGTGTGAACAGGAGAAGGTGCCAAGGCTGGGCAATGTGTGTAGTGAGAAGCGGTGTGGACATAGACACAGAATCTAAGACCCTTAAAAGGAACTGACATGTTGAAACTCTTTCAGTGAGAGTCACGAGGATAAATACTTCTTAGAAATCTCTGGCCCCGGGGCTGGAGAGATGGCTCAGAGGTTAACCAGCAACCACATGGTGGCTCACAACCATCTGTAATGGGGTCTGGTCCCCTCTTCTGGCCTGCAGGCATACACACAGACAGCATATTGTATACATAATAAATAAATAAATATTAAAAAAAATCTCTGGCCCCTTCCTCTTCCTGAGGTTCCATACGGAGCATAGAAGGGGCAGTTTCTGACAAGTCAAAGGTGCCAGAAGCCAAGTCCCTGACCCAAGCTGGAATTTTGTTTTGTTTTGTTTTGTTTCTGCAAGTCTGGCCGTGTGGCTTGGACAAGCAACTCTTGTTGGTCAGTGAGAGAAACCGAGGACCCGACCGACCTCTAGGCGGCGCCCTGGCGTTGAATCCGCGCTCGCGCGCGCAGCCAGATCCTCTCCGAAGCTCTGCGTCGAGTCCTAGGACAGAAGGGACAGGTTCCTGCGGACGCTACGGGCCTGGTTGGCTTGGAGCTGGCCGCCAGCGCGTCGCCTTTGGCGCCCTCTGCCAAGCAAGAGAAACAAGATTAAAGAGTGCTCGCTGGGAAAGGATTGGACAGCTAAGAAAGGCTCCACCAGTTCCCCAGCCCCCACCCTACACAGCTCCGCGACGCTGGAGAGCCTGCCACAGCGGAATCTCCTTTGATCTTCCCTACAGCCCGCAACAGCCCAGCGCCAGCATCTTTAACTCCCTCCACCAACTAGCAAAAGAAACCCCACCCCACCCCACCCCCATGTCTGGAGAAATTAAGTAGTAAGGCCAAGATGTGAGCAAAAATTAAAAATAATCGAACAAGTCTGGAGAACGTGCCCTCTACTCAAAAGTGATTGTTCTATTCCAAATAACCAACAATATCTTCAACAAACATAGTGGCTTTAAAAAAAAAAAGCATAATTCCGTTCATTTACAGAACGACAACCTTCAAAGCTTGTCTTTGTTGCAAATTTGGGGTTTCCTGGGTTTTGGGTTTCAGACTTGGTTCAATCCATTAGAACATTGAAAGTGAAGGCAGGGGAAGCTCAACAAAGACTCAGAGCCAAGCTGGGTGGTTGGTGGTGCCTTTAATCCCAGCACTCAGTAGGCAGAGGCAGGAGGAATTCTGTGAGTTCGAGGCCAGCCTGGTCTACAGAGAGAGTTCTAGGGCAGCCAAGGCTACACAGAAAAAACATGGCTTGAGAAAAAAATTAAAAAATCAGCGTCAAGTCAAACCCAACCCCTTCCTCCCAGAAAATAACCAATTTCTAACCTTCCTGGCTGAGTGATATTAGATCAAGAGCCCAAAAGAAAAAGACTCACTGGACAGGGAAGTGGAGATTGAAAACGTTGTGAAACTGAAGGAAGGTGTCAGACGCCTTAAGGTTCCACACACACCAAAGCCAGAGAGCTTTTGTAGTCAGAACCAGTAACTGTATAAGTTCTAGGTGGGGCAAGGGGAGCCTTAAGCGGATCTCCGACTCTGTGTACCTGAGCTCAGGTCCTAAGCAGACCTGAGAACTGTGGGGCAGAAAACATCAAACCTTCTATTCTCTTTCCTGGGTGACAGAGTCTCCATTTTTGGGGGACCATCCGCCAAAGTTATTTCTAAGGCAGAGACCAGAGAATCCCTGCAGAGAGGAGTGAAGAAGTCCCTGGACCGGGCAGCAAATGACAAGAGCCAACTATGGGACAGACCGCGGCCCGGTGCCGGCAGAGGTCTCTGGTCCCAGGGGACGCACGTTTCCCAGCCGGGCACCAGATCTCCTGGACGTCTAATTACCCAGCGCACATCTGGAACAGCTGCGCCCCACCCGGCCTCGGGCACATTATTTCTCTCCAAACCCTATTTTCATTCCCAAGGCTGAGTCATAAAAGACTCTGGAGGCAGAATAAAGTCGGGTCTGTGTGTGTCAGCATTCCTGTGTGTGAGTGCGTGAGTGCGCACGCGTCCACGTGCAGCGTCTGGCGTCTGCGCGTCTCACTGTGATTGCCCAATGGATTTGCAAAAGTTAGGGGGGAAATGGAGCGACATCAGGCGAATTCAACTGCGAACATACTGCGGGCCTCATTATCCGCCCATTTCAAGGGAAAGCATTTGGGTCGTGGAATTAGCCAGCTAATTGCCATACTTCTTTGTTCATTTCAGGGCAGGGGAAGCTATCTGCCTTCTAGTAAAATAGTCTGTATTTCAAAGCTTGAAGGTCTCCTCATCCTTAGTTTTATTTCCATCCTGTTATAGATTATATCTTGGAACATTATGATTTGCCAGGATAATCTCTCTCTCTCTCTCTCTCTCTCCCTCCCTCCTTCCCTCCCTCCCTCTCTCTGTCTCTGTGTCCCTGTCTCTGTCTGTCTCTGTCTCTTTCTGTCTCTTTCACACACGTGTGCACGCACGCACACACATATACACACACATGCATACACACACTTCCTGGCTGGAAACTATCTTTCTTTATGCATCTACAAAAAAGCTGGATGCCTTAGCTCTTGAGATTGTTATAATAATCCATTACTGTGGGCCTAGGATTTAATGTGATGCCCGCTGAACAGGGAGCATTTTAGAGAACACTAATAGCAAGGAAGAGAAAGAGAGAGGAGGAAGAGGAAGTCTCCTTTGTTCTCGGAGAACCAGTCTAGGTTGGAGGGCGTGAGCCTCAGCCTGTCTGTGTGTAATGTATTCTTTTGACTTAGAGCTGTGTCCATAAAAGTGAGGCCCTTTGAACCTCACAGCCCGTAAACTACTTCTTCAATAAGGAACAGCGAATTGGGGCAATTATCTGGCTCATTTCAGGTTCAAACTCCCAGTAGCCTGAAGTATCTGGACCTCATGAGGTGTGTGTGGGGGAAGGGGGGTCTGGAGAGTTTCAAGATGAGTTCTTTGCCTTCGCTGAGGTGAGCAGGGTCCTGCCATAGAAAATGAATGGGAAAAATATTCAGGGGGGCTGAAGGCTGAGGTGAAACAGAGCGTGTGAAACGTGCTTGAGAAAGAACTCGGCCTCACACCTGCCAGGGAAACCCTCCAACTAGGGGAAGACTTCTGCCTGGTGGGGGCCTTTATTCCACATCGGAGGACCATTTACTGAGCTCCTCCCACGTGCCCAGTGGGAGCCACGCTTCACCAATTTGGGGCAGTGCTGACCTGGCAGCCGATGAGAGGTCTTGGCTCCCAGAAACAAGTCTAGGGACCTGCGAAAGGGAGCAAGCCTGCTGGGCAAGAACTTCTGGCCAATCACTGCAAGTCCTTTTCAGGGCCAAAGTTCTGGCGCAAAGGTGGGCAGAGCAGAGGGTCTGGAGTGGCCCCTCCCATTGTCTCTGAGAAAGAGGCCAACTCCACGGTGGGGGGACAGTCCTTTGGGGGAGAGGTGGGGCAAGGAGGGGTGAAAAAATGACTAGAGGCTCTGACCCTCAGTAGGAAGTTCCTGAAAACACCAATTAGCTTTTCTCAATTAGTGAAGTGGGGAGCGAATGGGCATATATTTCTTCTGCTCTGATTAAAGACATTTAGGTCAGGCTGTCACAGTCACAATTATTCAGTTTAAGCTGTCCCAAGCAGAAAATTGCTTATCTTTTTCTTTTCATCTTCAGGCAGGGGTTTGAATGCTATTAGCTAGTAGTTAGCCATTGGTTTCTCACCACACCAGAGCTGCTGGGTTTGGCAGCCTCAAGGAGCAGAACTAAGAATGGGTCAGCGTCCTCCTCACCCCAAGTCACATCTGTTTGAAATACACAGACAATGGAGAACAGTCAGGAAGGATGTGGGTTAGTCACATAAGTGTGTGTGGAGGGAGAAGGCACAATAAAACAGGTGATCTCCACACCCTGTCATTTGTTTAAACATGTTGAACATAGTCCTGGCGGGGAGGGGCAGAGGGTGAAGAAGAAATTTGTTGACTCCCAAGGTTCTAAGGAGGCCCCACTTTTCTTCTGGGGGAGTCTAGGCAGGTTGATTTAACCAGGTGGGATGGGGCAAGGACGATTTTCCTAAGCTAAAGGAGAAGATGAAATTGAAACCACAACATGGAAAGACATGAGGGAAAGCTGGGAGGTCCCCTAGGGAATGTGGGAGGTTGCCTGTTTGTCAACCATACACACAAGTTAACAAAAGTATTTATGAGCAGGCTGGGCTATAGCTTTGTAACAAAGTGCTTGCCTAATATACACAAGACTCTAAGATCAATTCCCAGTACCAGAGGAAAAATATATTATTTGCAAATCTTTTTTTTCTTTTAGCCAAGTGTGATATTCCCCAACCTCAGCTCATA